TACTGTGTGGAAAATACATATTTAAAATGCGTCCGTGAAAATGACAGTATGTAGTGCTCCCGAATAAACAACAAACGAATTAAACATCGGCAGTAGCAAATAATAAAAACAATTTCTGGCCATACCTATGTATGTAATTTTGGTAAAATAAACACATTCACTGACATACATTTAATATGTACCGTGCATTCAGTTTATCTTGATAACATTTTAATTGGCTGTAACTTTTTTCTTGAAATATCAAGGTAAAAAAAAACAGAAACACATATTTTTGAAGTGGCACAAAATCGTCTACAGGGTAAAACATACCATTTTTTAATAAAAATACGTTTTTCGACATCTTCGACGGTGCAAAGATTGCAAGTTGACTAGCCATATTAAAAAAAGGAAAATTAACTTCATATTCCAGATATGTTTGACGCGGCACAAAATCGTCTGCAGGGTGAAACACATTTTAAAGAAAAAAAATTAAAGTGTGTTTTCGGCACCTTGGACGGCGCAAAGATTATAAGCTGACTAGTCATTAAAAAAAGTAAAATTAAGTTCATAATCCACATAATTTTGGTTAGTTGTCTACAGAATGAACCGTACGTTATTTGGATAAGGGTAGCTTTTTCAAGGTTGCACATTTAACAAACTGACCACGCTAATTACATTCAATAAAAGCCGCTTTATAAGTTTTTTTAATAAGCGCCAATTGTTCAATGGTAGTCTGTTTGCTAATCCATGCTGTACCGGGCAAGCAAAATTTGGGAATATTTCGGTACTGTTTAATTATTTTTTTTTTAAACATTTTTACAATATATACCTGCTAACATATACCCCACATGCAACAATTTGTGAAATTATGAAAACCTATGAAAAATGTCAATTTGACAGATAACATATGTAAATATATTTTGTTATAATCTACTCTTAATTACCGTTTAATAGATGCCCCCATCTCATGGTCTGTTAATAAACCCCTACCCTTATGTTCCGAATGGATTTCAATATTATTAAAACTGAACGTATTACATCCCATACCCAAGCGTATTGAATATTATTCAAATCGTACAAAAGTTTTCGTATTTAGGTATATGTCTGCTGTGGAGATATCATTGAGAAACATGTGTACCAAATTTCGTTAATTTTTTTTTATTTCGTTAAAATAAGGTTTATACAACATTTTTTAAATATTGACCAGGATTTGTTTGGTCCGCTGTAATTTGATGCAGATTCCAATCCCAAGTTAATTTCAGCTACGTCTACATACAGAAGTTAAGTAAAACTCTTTAACAAGGTGTTCAAAACATCTAAACTCAGATATTTTTCTATGCTATTTTGGTTGCGACGATACATATAAAATTAGATACATCTAGCTACGTAAGTGACACCATTTTGTTTTTTAATATTGACGATTTGACAAAAATGATTTTGTGGCCAGCTTTTTGGTGCACATAATCCTATGTGCGACGTCTGCTTTTGGAACTGACCTGTGGCACCGCGATTTTGCAACAAACTATTGTTAGGCACTAAAGGACCACATTTTCTACGAAGTTTCCAACTATTTTTTATTTTTCCAAAAGTTATCAATTTTTTTTATTTTCCACAAAATAAAGAATCCAAATAACGTCTACACTCTTCGTTTTGAAAAATTTTGTAAGCCCTACAAGAACCATAATTCAGATTTTCAAACTGGTTCTCAATTGTTTCTTATAAGTGAAGATGTAATAAATTTGGTCGCCGGGCAAACTATAACTCTAGGCTAAATTAATAGGAAAATTGAAGGTGGCCAAAATGCGTATTGAAATTCGTTTCAGGATTCCATTTGGCAAAATCGTTTTATTTATTGATAAAGTACAGGGTCTTTCCAAATCTCTCTTACAAAAGGAAGGAGAAGAAGTTTCGCCTAATTTTGAGACGAAAATGTTGTACAAAATTTTTTGGAATGTCGCTTCCATTTCGAAATGCAGGGTGGTGCTGAAAAAAAACTGTTTTATTAATTAGTGGTGAACAATATTCCAGAGATATTTAGTAAACATAATAAAGAGTTTTGTTAGTTTACTTTGTGTCCATTTCAAAACTTTTAAGTTAGTTCACTGGCGGAGATCCGGGTAACGAGTACCATAATTTCGCAAAAATAAATAATGTATATATATATATATATATATATATATATATATATATATATATATATATATATATATATATATATATATATACTTAGTATTTTACTTTGTGTTCATTTTAAACTTTTTAATTAGTTCATTCGTGGAGATCCGGGTAACGAGTACCATAATGAGCAATTAGAATGATTGCTTATTTTAAAACGACAAAAATATAAGAGACCCAATTGGTTTAAAATTAAGACCATATATATATATATATATATATATATATATATATATATATATATATATATATATATATATATATATATATATATATATATATATATATATAATGGTCTTAATTTTAAACCAATTGGGTCTCTTATATTTTTGTCGTTTTAAAATAAGCAATTCTAATTGCTCATTATGGTACTCGTTACCCGGATCTCCACGAATGAACTAATTAAAAAGTTTAAAATGAACACAAAGTAAAATACTAAGAGCCCTTATGGTGTGTATCAAATAAACGAAACGACATTTCAAAAAATGCTTACCACATTTTCGTCTCAAAATTTGGGGAGAATTTTCCTCCTTGTTTTTGTCAGAAAGTTAGGAAACACTATATAAGATGTCAGGGGAACACTGAACTTTGTTTAAATAATGGTTTTATATACAAAATTTTAAGAAATTCCTTTGTTTGAAATTTAAATTCTACTGTTGACGGGTTCTGAGTTAGAGCAACGGTTATTTATAGAGAATGCGTGAGAAAATCTTAATTTGTTGTTAAAATCCCTTACATTTTATCAACAAATAAAACGGTTTTTAGAAGAATTTTTATGTACGTATCTGCCCCATTGAAAAAATTACTTAAATATTTTAGATCGAACTCGTGAAATTTTGAGCCCTTAGTAGTTTCCCATGGGGGATCGCTGAGTTCATCTAATCGTCCTGATCTTTCTTCGTGTCCATGATCAGAATACGCTTTAATCTTTCAGACATATTTCAGAAGGTTACACGGATATAACAGGGTACGCTGGCGGTAAAACTAAACTAATACTATAGTGAAAAAATTACCAGAATTCAGTCTGCGTTTTTCTAAAAGACGTTGCCGTTTTCGGATGTTACAAGTGAATACGAATATATTGAAATATACACCTATAAATTGTTGGATATTACAGAATAGGTAGTGTCTGATTTAAAAAGCATACAAATATACAACGGCAGAGTACAGAAAAAGTCTTTTTAAAAATGTCATCACAGAGTTCGTAGTAGCTCGTGTAATAGGTAAACAACTTGCCTTTTGTCAATTTTTTAAAATCTAAAACCCATGTGTTCACTTCCATAAGGTAGTTCTGCCACATTTAACACCGGTTTCATCTTTTTCAAGCCTCCTAATTAAGATATCTAATGTAGGCACGCTTTGTTCCTCGTATAACTGGTAAAGTTTACCCCGTATTATATCTTGATCATTTTCATTTACACTCGAGAAAATTTCAGCATCGCTTCTTTTTTTCCTCGCTGAAATGGGATTATTAACAATTTTCCGTACCGTTGATGTTGAAATTTTCGTCAATGTGGCCGTTTCTTCTAAAGATGCTTGCTTGCTGGCACCACGTTCAATGAGAGTCAAATAAACATTGTTTATAACTTCCTTATTCAAAATAGAATAGTGTTTTCTACATTTGGGCGAGAACATCTCCTGAGATACACTAGACTCGCACATATACGAAAGAATATTAAGGTAGGTATAAAATTATTTTCTATTACGGACCACTACCTCTACCTCTAGATGCTAGATACCCATCAATAATGTCATTATCACAAGTGCGTATTTTGAATATTTTTTAGTGGTATATGTTATTAGTTATTAGCATATTAATTTAGTTTGACTTTTAAACTTAAATCGCAAATATTTCAAAAAGTATAGGAGATATACCAAAACCCTTTATTATAAAAAATATTCTAAATTGAACACAGAATAATAAAAATGGGCTTCCATTGGAAGTTTTTGCGGAAAACTACTACAAAGTTACATTATCAGTGTACTTCCGGTCAAAGTGCTAATATTGTTTTTTATTCACTTTTATCAAATCGTTTTCTACTAAAAAAAAACTCATTCTGTCAATGATTTGGTTAAAATATGTTTTGTTATCATCTCAAAAACGATTAGAACTATCGAAACACGTATAGAACATTTATTACTTGGAATTACCTCTAGAGTACCAAAATAGAAAATATACAGAGTGTTTCATTTAAAATAATTGTTTTATGTGTCAAAATATGTATAATACCTCTAATTATTTATTGTTTGACAAAATTATCGCTTGGCTAGTAATTTCATTGACACCCGGTATAGGAAGTCTGTTTTTGATTTTGCAAACACCCAGTGATTTCTGACTGCGTCTAGTTCTTTTTATCGTCGTTCTTTTTATCATAAATTTCATGCCAAATTAGGTAAAGAGCTATATAACTTTTTGGTTTTATTCAAATAGCGCTTCTTCCAGATAATATGGAAAAAAACTTTAGTGCAATGAAGTTTTTTCTTAAAAGGACACACCAATAAGGAACACTCTGTATGTTAATAAGAATAAACTAATTACCTTATTGAAGTGGGTGTTGTCATTTATAAACAAAAAAACAAGCCCGGAAAACAATTCAACTTTTCTTTGAAATTTTTGAACCAAGTATTTTTGGGTTATATATTGTGTTTGGTAATTATTTTAATAAAGATTTTAGCTTCCTGGAACGTTTCACAAGTAAGAAGTCGTGGGAAGTTTTGATACATCTACTTGAATACCTTAAGGAAATATCAGCTGAAGTTGGGGTTAAAGTGAGTTTATAATTTTTAAAGTATAGCAGCTCTTAGTAACTTTGTTTCTTATCAACTGGAGTATGATCCCCACTAACCTGTTTTGGTTGGCCAAAGACCGTGTATGGTCCAGAGCGACTTATTTTTCGGCAAATTACAAGTGTTTTCCTTTTTTATCTCTTCCCAATGAGCACAAGCTGTCGTTGGCCATCTTTGCGAAAAAATCAGGTAATCCCAATCGTGGTATGGCGTGGGAGACGGTTTGTTACGGTACACCTGTCCCCGGCTGAAATATAGATAGGAATATAGATAGGAACTCGATGCGGGCCAAAAAGAAAACACTCACCTTAAATCAAAAAATAACACGATAAATAAACAATTCAGGGCAAGTTTTTCCTTCAGCATAATTCGATTGTTGTTCTAAATGTTTGACATCGATGTTGTGTGTTGTTTCTTTTGACAATCAGCTGATAGTTGACGTTTAAAATACGTCGTTTATCTCTGCGGGAATGATCGACCGATGTCGAATAAATGTTTTATGGCTTTCGCTATTCGGTATTAAGTTAACCAAACATCAAAGGCTATATTTGTCGGAGTGCAATTTAACCAAATTTTGAATATAACCAAGCTAATTCTGAACTTTATTCACCTTTTTGTTATACTAATTGGTAAATTGTGGGCATTGGTTTGAATAGTGTATAAAAAGTTTGTGATAGTGGTTGTTTTGGTATTAGTTTAAAGTTTAAAGAGCAAGTGGAAGCCATATACATTGAAACTACGGATGGTCATAGTTGAAACTTTAGTTATATCGGAACATTGTAGTGTTTGACAATAATCAACGAAGAATGGCTGAATGATCCGGGTAGTTTGCGTAAAGAAGCGGACTTAAAGTTGGTTGCAGAATTGGTGAGTTGGTTGTTACTTGTTCCTTACGATAGTTTAGTCAAAGAAGAAGATTGATGGTATTTGTCAAATTTACAACTGATAAATGATTGCTTTGATGTTTTTATTTTGTCCTATTTAAAGCCCGTTAGACACGATGCAAATTCTACACGTACCTTGACCAGATAAAACTTTTTAACTGGTAATTTTTTGCTGGCAGCAAATAAACTAAGACTTTGGTGAAATTTTGTCTTTAAAGTTTGGCACGAGCTAAGTTAAAAAAATTAATAATTTCAAAACGGAACGCGGAAGAAATTGGAATATTTAACTAAATCATATGTTAATATTATATTAATTTTTGTATCCTCTAAAACTAATTTTTACGCAATTCTCGTATATTTAGGTCAGATTTAGGTTACAATTAAATACGCTTTTAAACAAATTGTTTATTGACTTGTAATGATTGGTAATTGTCCCCGTTAAATATATACCTACAGTTTTATTAAACAAATTGAGAAAAAGGAATGAGAATTCTGTCTGGGATGGGGCACAACCAGCCTGTCGAGGCCTGAGTGTTGTGCAAATCACACAGCGTCCGTCACTGAGAGAAAATTTTAATTTTCTAATAGAACATTTCACGTAATTTTCTTGATTAGCTTGTTGGTTTTTTCGAAACAACGAGCGGAAAACCACATTTCAATCATTCATGTAGTATTCATACTATAAATACATATAATTAGACTTTTAATAGTCATCTTTCTTGATTTCGATTTTATTTACATTTTTCGTCTAGGTTAAACCTACAAGTTTATAAACACAAGCGATTTACACACACAAATTCGAGAAAAAGTAGTTGGTAATTTTATCTGCTATATCTTTTGCAATGACATGTTGCAATATTTACATGAAAAAAATTCATGTAGAAATTGTATCGTGTCTATTGTGCTTAAAAATTAACAATCAGAGAATAGAACAGGTATTAGAAGACGTGTTTCATTCTAATTTGTACTCTGCGGACAGGAATCTAGCTTGGAAACATTTTTCAAGAATTTTTAGTCGTGCCATTGGTCGATAGATGGCGGTTAAATTCAATAATTTGAAAAATATATTCCTTTGGCATATTATATACCCACAGTTAAGAACGCGATGACTTGTGATATTATCGAATTTGATTTCATATTCCAGACATTCATTTCCCCGAACTATACCGATGATGTTATTGAGCGGTAAATAAATAAAATCTGGGGTTTTTCAAGAACAGATACAAAAATTAATGAAATACAATGGGAACGGAATGCACAGAGAAAGGACATTAGAAAGTCTCGCGGATTTAGATTGGCTAATTTTGCACAAAACAATATGTTACGAATCAATAAACGTGGTTCTCAATAATAATTTACTCCTAATAATTTGTAGTTGCAACTGATGAGAGCAATATTAGAATATAAACGACTTGCAAATATAAAAAACCCGCAGCAATCCACAACCAAGTCGAAAAACAATGTTTCCAGATTAACCGTTGTAAAAAAAAATACATCCAAACTGGACCTTTTTAAGACGTTCAGGGCATATGAACAAATGCAGCATTAATAAAGGACTTAAAAGGATTAATAATAAAACTTCCTATTATCTAAAATGATTTTTATTTATCAAAATTATGGATAATAACTAGAAAAAGTTCCTTGCTACTATTTTTCACTAAATAAAAATTGTCTCGATACCTAATTTACCCTGATGGGGTTACTCATCACACGTGCGGGTTTTCAATAACTATATTTATATATATATATATATATATATATATATATATATATATATATATATATATATATATATATATATATATATATATATATATATATATATATATATATATATATATATATATATATATATATATATATATATATATATATATATATATATATATTCTCACGTATTGATTCACGGATGGAAAAATGTGATGACACTATACTCCGGGATATCATCCGTTCGCTCGTTGAACTCCGACTGGAATCCTGCATCCGACTGGAATCCTGCAAATCCTGCATCCGACTGGAATCCTGCACACGTTTCGCCAAAATCGAACCGAACCGAACCGAAGTGTTCGAAGTGTTTTCGGAGCGCGAGCATTGAAGATGCCAAGTGAATTTTGGCGAAACGTCTGCAGGATTCCAGTCGGATGCAGGATTTGCAGTATTCCAGTCGGAGTTCAACGAGCGAACGGATGATATCCCGGAGTATAGTGTCATCATATATATATATATATATATATATATATATATATATATATATATATATATATATATATATATATATATATATATATATATATATATATATATATATATATATATATATATATATATATATATATATATATATATATATATATATATATATATAAAGCAAGAAATTATATTTAAAGACCTTTGAGTTACGAGTTTATTAGGCACGAGCGGAGCGAGTGTTTAATAGACGAGTGACTTATAAAGTTTATCAAACGTGTTGCATGTTTTGCAAAAATGTAGTAATAGTAGAAATAGCTGATTTTAATTGCATCCGAACCAGTCACGTAATTTTCTTCTTCTTCCTACACTCCTTTTTTCATAAAGTTTCCCTTGCATTATTAATTGTAGTGGATGGTATTTCTCTCCCTTCATGACATGTCCTAGGTTATGCAGTTATCGGTTGTTTTATTCTAATAATTTCTTTCTCTTTCCTTATTCTTCTCATGATTTCCTTGTTCGTCACTCTTATCGGTCAATGATACCTTTAGCATTCTGCGGTATATCCACATGTCGCGTCCAGAACACATAGTACCTTAGCATCCTCATTTTTAAATCCAAGTTAACTAAACTAATCTAAACTAACGATCGTAGAAAAAGTAGAGTATGCAACACGTTCGGTAAACTTTTTATCTCACTATATACTATTCACTACGGTTCACTAGCAATTCTGGAATTGTAATAAATACCTAATATATCGCGTTTGAAAAGATCTTTTTTAGTACAGTATATAAGTATATAATTATAGTGCGCCAAACAATTTACGACATAATCCGGTATTTAACTTAAGTAAATTTTTATGAAGGTCTAATCGGAACACTACGTCCCTTGGGTTTATCTTTGAAACCTTCAATAAACAGATTCGCAATTCTACAATGACGTTCCAGATTCGGTACTCCGTGCATACAAATGCTGAAAGCTGACGGATTTGTGTATGCAGTGAAAAATCCATTCTTACTTTAAATTTTTTATTATAAATGAAGGAATAAATTTAGCTATAAAACAATGTTAGAATATTTATAAAAAAAAATTATTCTACATCCAAATCATCACTATCGTCACCGAACTCGTCCCCCACATTAATAATTAATTGTGGGGTAGCCGGCTTCTGTAAATATTTTTTTCTTCGATGACATTTTCTACACATTTTTTCCAACTGGGTTTCAGGTGTCCCCATATCAGTTCTATCGGATTAAAATTGCAGTGATATGGTGAAACTTTGAATCGCCGCTTTAAGGCCAACTTGTCCACATTATACTTCTTATCAAACTTTCCCATCTTGAGAACTTCCAATAACTGCTTATTTGCGTAGCAATTTTCAAAATACATATCATTTTCAAGCAAAAAAATTTTGCAGTCTTTAGTCGATACTGAACTCGGTATTTTTTCCGCTGGTGTAGCTGGCGTTGTCCATCACAACACTGTTTGGTGGAATATTGTAAACAATTTTTCAGAAAACCATTTTTCAAAGATGTTTGCTGTCATGTTTTCGTGGTAGTCAACCTTTGCTTTGCTTTGCGAAACTGGCTCATTTAAGGAACATTTCCTGCTATTATCAGTCTATTCTTTCTTGACGGTATCGTAGCTATCAAACCAGGTCTCATCTAGATATATGATGGGGACGTTTTTAGGACGAATTTCTCGGATTTCTTCTTGATTCCATCAAAACTTGTCTCTTATGAATAATCAATAAAAATCAATTTTTCGTAAGAACGCATGCAAAGTCTTTTGGCAACTGTCAATGTTCAAAATACTACACAATATCATATATCAACCATCTCACTATTCCGGCAAGTAGACTTTTTGGGACCCCACGATCTTTCTGCGTTCTTCATCCTTGCACACCATTCGCAATCATGTCACGTACTATGGCATATGATGTCTTAGTCATCTCGGACGATAATTGTATGGCTCCTCACTTTCTCCAGATGTCGATTCCATTTCGATAATTTTGGTTAGTAACCGGAAAATGTGTCCTAGACTTTGATCCATTTGAATTTGACGGATGTTCATCATCAACGATTATTACGTCATCGACCACAATCTTAACTTCTTCGTCGCTGGGCTTCTCAAGTGACTAACAAAATTGCATAATGTTAGTATTTGGTAAGACCGGTGTGAAGTTAGCAGCTAAAAGTTGGCAGTCAAAATTACGGAAAGAGCCAAACAACCAGTGGCATCGGAGATTTCTAAACCAGTCTAAGAAGCAACTGATTTAAATTAAATAGATCTCTCGCTTTTGTTTCCAGAGAAAATATTCGGTTGCAGCCCCGTACAAGGGTTGCTATAGGGTGAAACTAAAAAGTTATAAATATATA